TTTTTATCAATTTTCAAGTTTTTTATTTTCAGTATTAAAAAATAAAAAATGTATTCTAAAAATGTAGCGCAAGTATCTATGAATTATATTTAAAAGAAATTTAATAAAAATATTGATTAGAACAAAAGTTATTTCATTTGTCAGAATGTCAGATCTCTGTTGGACAGGGTGTATATAGTAAATACTACAGTGAAACTTCCCTTAACGAACACCTCTAATTAGTGAACTCTTCTCAATACAGCCGGATTCACAGCTACGTCGTGTGTCGTGTAGCGCGAGAATGTGGTAACTATGGTTAAAACTGGTAACCATATTGATCTTACTAGTATTCAATTCTTGGTATCCTCGGTTTTAACTTGGTTATACCACCATACCAAAAGTTAACGTCCAGTCGGAATGTGGTTTGATCGTTACGACACGACACACGACGTAATAGCTTTGAATTCGCCAATTCGGCTTAACGGAAAATTTTCCGGTCCCCGCATAGTCTCATTGGAATTATTAAATTGTGCTCCTCCTGCGAATTGTGGTTACCTCTTAACAACGGACTTGGAAAATTTTAGGTATTCCGGTGATTCTAAATACCTCAACATAACAGACAGACTTACCGAGAAACAAAAACCTACTCGTAATGTACTTTTTGTAAATGTATTGTATGCTATATTAATATTTAAGATAAAAACATTTATCTTTATGATTTAATGGGTATAATTAGGTACTTACTACCTATGTACAATCAATAAATCTAAGCAAATGATCAGTGGCGTAGTCAGGAATTTGGTATGGGGGGTATATACCCCCATGGCCCCATACCAATGTGTAATAAACTAATAAATGTCATAAATAAAAATGTATTATTTTCAATCTTTATTATTATACAAAAAAAAAATTAGAGGTCCGAAATTCAGTCATATTTGAAGACTAAAAAAAAAGCCCATGGGGGTATATATATCCCCATTCATCTTCTCCCCCCCTGCGCACGTCATTGCAAATKATAGATAATGACGAAAATATATAGTACATGAATTTATCCCTACTTGATTTTAAATGTTTTTTAAAAAGTAAGAAAAACTTAATTTTTTATTTTATTTATTTTCCTAATAGTGGACACCTATCAATAGCGGATATTCTGTATACTACGACCGTGAGTGTCCGCTTTTTAGAGTTTTTGCTGTATTCAAGGAGATAATAAAACATCTAGAATAACCGCGTGACGTCATTGGGCTTGGCTCGACATAGTCCTTATCTTAGGCGTGTAAAAGTTTCGTTTTACACAATGATTTACCAACATATTTTTGATGATTGATTTATGTAGGAATATKTGATTTTTTGTTATAAAATTGATAGAAGTATCTGAACTTAAATACTTCATTTGTAACTTTTTTTTTTAAATATTAAAAATACTTTTCGTTACGCGTATAATCTCGTTCTGAGTATTATAAATTAATTAAAATATAAAAAAATATGAAAAATATAAAAATACAATAGTATGAGGGGATGCTGAACTACCTTTCACTGATATCATCTAAACTATTCTCTAGACTTTAAATGAGTTAACAGTTTTATGATGGTTATTTTAAACATATATAGCTCAGCAGTCAGCATAACAAAAATACAACTAATAACTAAACAAATAATTACCTAGATAATTTTTCAAAAATTCAGTGTCTGAGGAATTAAAATTATAAAAAATATCTTAGAATAATTTGTAGTTGTATTACATTAAAATGTCATATTTTCTTCATTATAATTATTATTTATTTTACCAAAGGAATCAAAAATGTTTTGTTATTTATAAAATATGAGTATTTTAACACTTTGTTATTTGTATATCAAACCATATCTATGATACATTCATATGAAATAATATTAAAGTGAAATTTGTGGTTGATGGTTAAGTGTGGTTTCCTGCCATGTAATTCCTATAGAATGATATAGTAAAATTAGATWAAAAAAAACATAAACATAAGTAGTTATGAATTATAAAACTATATAATATTACATATTACATAGTATATATAGCATGATACATATTATATTTTTAACATTTTTTAGTTTATGTCAAAAAATGTAAATTGTAATAACATTTTTTAATTATTACTATTTTAATTACCATACCATTAATTTGAATTTTTATATTTTACAAGTTCTGAAACAATTTAAAAATTAATTTTATCTAATCAATTAAGACTGATAATTATTGGTTACACCTACTTTTATGTATGCATTCAAGTTTCAAATAATATTTTTAATATTTGCTTTATTTATAAAATTATATCAAACTGAAATATATACAAAATTTTAAATTTTTACCATACAGTATTATTTAATTTATTTTGAAAATTTATTTTTCATTTCAGCTGTGCAATATGAGTCATGAACATCACAATCACCATGCAATGGATAATCATGAGCATACTACCGAAAGTGGTGATTCCTGCTGTCCTAGTTCTGATGCACCAGCAAGCAGTGGGCAACATATGATGCATCATATGATGTCTGTAAGTTACATGAAATAATCAACTAAGTAAAAATCATCCATTTTAGGTAATCTAATTTACTCATTTTTTTTATTTTAGATGTCATTCCATTTTGGTACTCATGAAACTGTATTGTTTGATTGGTGGACATTTTCTACAACTAGTGGTCTAGTGTATTCTATGATTGGAATTTTTTTAATAGCCACATTATATGAGGGATTAAAATATTTCAGGTAATTAATCATGTGACAATCTAATGAAGTATATAGATAATAATGAACCATTGTATATTTTAGAGAATATTTATTTTGGAAATCTTATAATGCTATACAGTATAGATCAGTACAAATTCCATTGGAAAAAGGACCAAATGATCCTGTTTCACAGTAAGTATTTTTATTTCTTCATTTTTTATTTATATTTATGTCCTTAATTTAAAATTTTTTTAAATCAGTCATACCAATTTAATAAAGGGATTAGCTTAAAATTATTTTTATATTTGTACCTATATATTCAATACATATACAAATTATACACATATTATGTGATTTTATAAATATTAATAATTGGTACTTATGTAGTATGCTACCTACTGGAAAATATGACATATCTACCTATGTACTTATATGTTTTATTTTTTTTGGAAAAATACCTGTGAGTTAATTATTATGAATGACAAAATATTATAATGTTATACTATAATATATTATATGTATAATATATATACATATATTATACATTATAATATATTATATGTATAATACTATAATGTCTAAATAACCAATGTGATAAACTGATAACTACTAACTAGTAAATATCTACTAAGATCTACTTTAAATCTGTTATTTTTGTTTCTTTCCACCTCGCTGTATTAAACAACATATTTGTTAGACCACAAACTAAAATAGCAGTCTATTAAAACACAACAAAACAATTCATTTTAAGTTTTCTATAATGACATACAAACAATATTCAATACAGGGTGTCCCACGAGGTTTTACCTATTGCRATATCTCATAAAATAATGAAGATATCAAAATTCTGGTTTTGTAATAAGACTTACAGGAATAAGAACTACAATTATTACATATTTAAATTTGTTTTAATGTTTTGGTAATAAATATATTTCTTTATTTAATTAATTCCAAAAAAATTGAAGATAGCCATTTTCTAGAGTTTATTTTTCTGAAAATATTGACGTTTTAAAATTGTATTATCATTAATTTCCTGATTTTAATATTTTATAGTTTGAAGAAATAAAATATAATTATAAATAGACACACTGAAAGCGTTCGGTCAGCCGTACGAGCACAAGTGTAGCACAGTGGGTCATATGTTTGTTAACTTTCTGGTGTTAAATAATTCTCAATTTTTCTTGAAACCAAAAACAAAAAATTAAAGATCAGGAAATGAATAAAAATATAATTTTGAAACGTCATTATTTTCAGAAAAATTAACTTTACAAAATGGCTATAGGTAGTTTTTGGAATTTATCAAATAAAAAAATATATTTTTTAATTATCTTATCAACATAAANCAGAATTTTGATATCTCCATTATTTCGTGAGATATTTCAATAGGTAAAACCTCGCAGGACACTGAATATAATAAATTAAAATACTTGATAATCGTCAGCAAATAAATTAAGAGGACATGATACCCGCATGTAGACTTTAAATTAATAAATTGTTATTAATAAATATTCAATAGATAAAATATGGTTAGCATACATAGTTTTTTGGTAGTATACCTAGGTAGCATACTACACAAGTACCTAATCATTTTTGATCTTATGTTTTGTAGTATTTTAGTTTAAGTTTTAACTGAATGTCTTAATCTTATTTCAACTAAAACATAATTATTATAGCGAAACATTGATTAATACCTTAAAACTAAAACCATTATTGAATCAAATTTTATGGTATAACGTCATACATTATAACTTTGATAATTTATTTATCTAAAATATTTTAGTGTTTATTAATTAATGACTTTATAATATTTACGTAAGTGTGAAAACTTATGCTGTTAGTGTATACAATTTAAAAACCAAATTAATTACTATTTTTTTATTTCTTGTACATAAAATGAATTATATAGTAAAACGGCATATATTTTTGATATGAATTATTTGTGTTTAATTCTTAAAATATTTAAATAAATGTATTAATTATACAATCACTTACTATGGAATTTTTGTTACTTAAATCGAAGGCGCATAATACACGGGTGATAGATATTTAAAATTATATTATAAGTTCATATAATAATTTTTTTACACTAATAACACTAATGATAGCATATAAGTAGATTATAATCTCTACCATAATATTTCAATAGGGCCTATTATATAGGTCATATCATGCCTAAAGTAACYTATCATATAGGTCTCAGTCATTAATATGTTCTGAGGTCAAGCATCAGTTTATGCCGCTCGTTCCCGGATCGATAACCACTTTATTTTTAGTGACAGATCCTCACCCCAYTTATACGTTTTTCCTCAACCAACCTAATGTCTTAACAAAATTCTAATAGCCCATTGCTGTTGCTTAAGATTATTAAAAAAATAAATATTTTGTGAACTAGCTAAACAAAAACTAATTATATGATACACATTTGATTGCTAACATTTATTGAAGAATTATATTGTTAAAAATGACTAAGTAATGCATTAAGTAGAATTAATTTTTTAATASYAAAAATGAGCAGAATTCAATTATTCGATAAATATATCAAGAATATTATAATTGCTTTAAAATTTCTCATTTGGAGTCTTAACCAAAAGTCAGAAAGCTCACCTACATAACCTACATAGCTGCATTGGCTTTATTAATTTTTAGCTACTCATTAAAGGCTGCATAAAAATAAAAATGTTAACATATAATTCTTATAGATTTATCGATATTACAAATCAAAATATGAGTTATGTGGCTCAGTAGTACTGATTTACTGATTATGAATAAATATTATGGAGAAAATATTTAAAAAAAATAATTCATGAGTAAAAGGTATTGCAAATATTTAGTGTGATTTTTAATGTAAAATATTTTCCACTTATTGGTTTATCTTTGGTTTTATATTAGATGTTTAATCTTGAATGTTGATATTCATTTGCATTTACGTGCTCATAGGTTAATGGGGAAAATGTTTATTATTTTTGATATTAAATTAGTGCTGCTACTGAAAGTACTGAATATTTTTTTAGTGAAACTTCTAATAACTTAGAAATTTATTTTTAAAAGATTTAAATTAAATATTAGTACATTATTAATTTTTTTTTTTATTTAGTGAACCCACGGCAACATATGACATTGAGTGTAGGAAGGGTACTGTAGTATTTTAAGTTGGGTTGATTTTTGGTACACGTGTTTGTGTTTTTGGCAGAATTTCTAGTGGGCACCTGTAGGTTTCTGATATGCCCTTGTGAGGGACAGCAGTCTCTCTCTCCAGACACCGTGAACTGCCTGGAAAGCAATGCCGCCATAACCGGGATTCAACCGGCAACGGTGCGCGTCGCAACCAACGCCTAATTCTGCCCGGCCACTACACCCCCCCTCTTATTAATTTAGTTCTTTCTTAAAATGCTATTTTAAGAATATTGTTGTGCAATTTTATATATATATTTAAGTTGGGAAGGAATTAAAATTTTCAATATCTATAGAAAAAATTCTTGATTTTTCTTTGTATAACATAAGTAAAAGTTAGAAAATTAAACTGACAATTTTATTAATTTTTAAAATTTTCAAATTAGGTATATTTAAAAAATTATTTTTAATAGTTTCCTAACAATAGGTTGATTTAGATAATTGGATTACAATTTTACAACATACAAAATTATCTAAATGCTTTTCATTGATATGTTTGTATAATAATTTTAACTTCATTTGAAATGATTTTATATCTCAATACATATCTGACAATAATTTGTCTTTTCCTTGAATTCAATTTATTCAAAAAGTTGTTTATATCAGTTAAAACAGCAAAAACCTAGTCTTTAGTTAATAAATCTTGTACATTTTTAGATTCTAAACAATAAGACATTTTTTTGGCAAAAACATACCATAAATGTCCAACAACTAAAACAAAACATTTGAATTTGTCCTCATATAATCATTAAAATATTTAAATTGTGTACGATTGGCTTCATTAATAAAATAGTTTTTTTTTTATTGATTCAGTCTAACATTATTTGTGATTAAAATTAAAATTAAAATATTTAAGCATTAATTTTATTTCAGAATGGTTGGGAAGGTGCTTTTAAAACAACCCCTGTAAGTGTAACATGATTGGATGATTAACTTTTTAATTGCATGCAAAATTTTATTTATTTTAAATTCTTTAAACATTTTGGTGTGATTAGTTATCAAAAATGAGTATATTGATTTCCCTATAGTAACTATTTAAAATGAGGTAATAATTAGTAAATAAATTGCATGTATGCTTTTGTGTTATGGAAAATTATGTTTTAAAATACCTTGCATGTGCACCTAAATATAGTTATTATTATTATTAAATAAATATAAAAGAAAAGAATTTTTATGGTGAATATTTTTTATTACTATATTTATTTTCATGGGAAAGGTTAGAAGTATAAATGCAAAGAAACCGCCATAGGTCTCAAACATTTATTTTGGTATATTCCTTCTGACCTTTAAATGGCGTTTTATTTCATTATAAATAGATAATAATTCTTCTCTGGGAATGTAAAATTGCAAATATGTATTGATTAAAACAAATAYTTGTTATTTATTCTTATTAACAAGGTGTGTACTATGATTACTAAGGTTGCAAATGTGCATTTATCATTTAGCAAACAATTCGCATTAATTTGCACAATATTTAATTTTCCAGAAGATAAGAAATCCATTTACTTCATCATAAATATTGTCATAAAAAAAATTAAAAGATTTTCAATGTTCTGTGTTAGCTGCATCAATGAATTTATGCTTCCCATGAGCTATTATCCATATGTATGCGCGATTTGCATGCTTAGTGTTGACAGTAAAATTATGAAAATTTCAAAAAACAGTGACTAATAAATTCATGTAAAATTAAAGCTATTATTTGCATTTGTTTTTGTACTTTTGATAAACCTAACCTATATAAACCCTTTAGGATTTAATTGCTKCATATATTATTATATTATCTTAAATATAATTTAATGATTTTTACTTTTATAATAACATATACCTATATCGATTCACAGTCATACATTTTTCTRTAGCATTCATCATTGAATATAGTTGCTCATTAGATTATGTTTAGGAATATTTGGACCATCATTTATATATTCAAAAATTAATTTACTGAATTTTTATCAAATATTTTTTTTTATTTCTTTACATTTTTTTTCTTCAAAATGTACATTATTAAAAATGCTTATTATCATTAATACCTTAAAATAATGAATTAAATAATAACTAGCTCCAAAATGTAAAAAAAAATGTATTAATTATAATTTTTGAATAATAAATTTTAACTCTAAACTGAACATAAGTCACAATTTTGAAAATGTAAAATGTCATGCAATATTTAGTATATTGCATTTAAACTTAAAAAAAAAAAAACATGTTTATGTTGCAACTTGTGGCAATATTTTAAGTATATATATTTATTTAGATTGAACTTAGGTTTGAAATCAGATTTCACAAGAAATCTTTGTTTATTAATAGTTTTCTAATGTTTTACCCATTATTTTGCCATTGTTAATTTATTGGTTTACCGATTCATTAAATATGCAACCATTCATTTTTCCTATGACAGTGAATTAAGCTTTGGTTTTACAATTTTTAAGAAGCTTAAATATACTTGAGAGTCAGATTTTCAAATACTATAATTTTGATACTAATAATGATGTATACACACTTTTTTCCAAACAAGAACCATATTTGATCCTGTGAATTGTTYCAATAATTATATAATTAGAATACCTAAATTCATTATTATTAAAGTAATGACTGACCTTTTTTAGTAAATAATCCTGAAAAGAGTGAAAAGCTATTACCTAGTTATTTGTTATTTTTTTGTATCCAATACAAAAAAAATTTGAAGATTTTTAGTTTTTAAATTGCATGCCATTAGAATGTAGAATATTTTAAAATATTATAAAATAACTTATCAAAGTATTATAAGAAAAGCTGAATTTTATAACTGATTATATTTTGTTTTTGTTTTTTTACAGGCCCACAATGTTCAGTATAACACATTTGCTTCAAACATTCCTGCACATAATTCAAATATCCATCAGTTATTTATTGATGTTAATATTTATGACGTACAATGTCTGGTTATGCTTAGCTGTTTTGTTTGGCGCTACTTTGGGTTACTTTTTATTTGGATGGAAAAAATCAGTTGTTGTGGATGTCACAGAACATTGTCACTGATATAATTGTGTTTCACATAAAATTTGAATTTAAAAATGTATTATGTTCTTATTTACTATAAGTGTATACAATATTATTCATAAATATATTTTATATGGCATATTAGCTTAGAAGTGCTTTCATCAGTTAACGTTATTCACTGGTTTAACTAAGCAATATATTAGATAGATGCCCTTATTGTTGGGTCAATTTTATAAATAATACTCTGTCATTTGATGATTTTCTTGATGATATACACTATACAGCCTTGTGACAATGTATCATAAAAAATTCCAAGATGGCTTATTTGGATTTATTAAAAACAAATGTATACTTTTATGATGTATTATTAAATAAATTTTTGTATTTTATGATTTGATTAAATCTTGATGTTTTAATAATTTGTGTAATTTTATTCCTCTATTTACATATTATTATCTCTTATCATATATCTCTTCATTCAATCTTGCCTTAAATCCCAACATCAATATCCTGATTTTTAGTCATATTGCAATTATATAAATAGAATTTACATAATATTTAATTAAATAAATCTTGTCTACTCCCAAATTATCATAAATCATCATACACAATAAATTTGGAGTATAAATATATTTTACCCAGATTAATACAATAAAAATATTGGAGCATATCAGGCGCGGATTCAGAGGGGGGCTATGGGTGTTCRAGCACCCCCTGTCATCTAGCCACRAACAAAATAAATTTATATTATAAATTATATAATTTGTTATTTTTCAAAATAAAATTAATAATAATAATAATTTCGGTGCTTTTCGTTATCGCTGTCATTACGACAATAATAACTATTATTGTTAATTGTTTTCGAAGTATAGTTGTGTCTTGTGTGTAAATAACGACACGCGTCGACGGCGGAAAGCACCGATAACAATTATTATGAAATAAAAGTTAGCATTATAA